TGCATGCAGTGGTAACTGGGATTGTTTCCTTAATTTCTCTTTCTGATATCTCATTGTTAGTGTATAAAAATGATGTATATTAATTTTGTATCCTGCAACTTTACCAAATTCATTAATGAGTTTTAGTAGTTTTCTGGTGGCATCTTTAGGGTTTTCTACATATAGTATCCTATCATCTGCGAACAGTGACAGGTTTGCTTCTTTCTAATTTGGATTCCTTTTATTTCTTTTTCTTGTCTGATTGTTGTGGCTAGGGCTTCCAAAATTATGTTGAATAAAAGTGGTGAGAGTGTGGGCATCCTTTTGTTCCTGATCTTAGAGAGAATGCTTTCAGCTTTTCACAGCGTTAACTGTGGGTTTGTCATATGTGGCTTTTATTATGTTGAGTTATGTTCCTTCTATGCCCACTTTCTGGAGAGTTTTTATCATAAATGGGTGTTGAATTTTTATCAAAAGCTTTTTCTGAATCTACTGAGATGATCATATGGTTTTTATTCTTTAATGTAGTGTATCACAATGAATGATTTGTGGATATTGAAAAATCCTTGCATCCCTGGAATAAATCCCACTTGATCATGGTGTACGATCCTTTTAATGTATTGTTGGAGTCGGTTTGCTAGTATTTTGTTAAGGATTTTTGCATCTATGGTCATCAGTGAATTGACCTCTAATTTTCTTTTCTTGTGATATCTTTGTCTGGTTTTGGTATCAAGGTGATGGTGGCCTTGTAGAATGAGTTCAGAAATGTTCCTTCTGAAACTTCTTAATTGAAGACTTGTTCAAGAAAGTAAAACTAGCAAGGTGATACAAAGATTTAGACGCTCAAAGCACAATGAATTAGTAAAGGAGACTGTGAAGCCTGGGGGTCATACTTAGTCTTTCAGGGTCAACATCATAGCCTTTTCTAACACATTCCATGTTGCCCTCAGAGCAGCCCTGAGTCTAGAGAATAGGTTTATTCTTGTGCTTTTATATTTAAATTTGTAAACTGGGATTTGCAGAGAGGGTAATTTAACCAAAAGCTTTTAAATCTTTCTGATCAGGTTTGAGGCTGTACCCTGCTGGGTTATTATTGTATTTATGTTAAGTTATTTATATATCAATTAAAATAATAATAATAGTAGATCCTGTATGTGTTCTTTTTTTCTCCCCCCACAGGTTGCAGAAATTTTATTCCAAACTGCCCAAAATGCAGGGATCAATTTTGATACTGTGTGTGGAGTACCTTATACAGCTTTACCATTGGCTACCGTTATTTGTTCAACCAATCAAATTCCAATGCTTATTAGAAGGAAAGAAACAAAGGATTATGGTAAAGTAAATAATTCTAGAATCTTTTCTTCTTCTAGGCACTCATGTTCATAGACTTGAATATTCTTCACAGGTCCTTTAAGTTGTTATGGCTTGTGGAATTTGTTAACTGTTGTTATAAATCACACCTTCCTTTCCTTTAGAGTCTGGGGTGAAATTGCTTTGTATTAATTAAGTAATGAAAAAAGTGCTTTTTTGTGCACCAAATTTATGAAACCCAGCATTTTCACCAGCACTTCCCTGATCAGCAGAATGTTCTAAGAGCACTTGCTTTCCTAGTGTATTTATATTTAAACTGCATGAATAGAAATGCATGAAGAAAAATCATTTTCTTAAAGCAGTATAAATGTCACATGAAATTACAAATGGAGATTTTTTTTTCATGGGTCTGTGACAAAAGGTTACCAGATAGTTGTTTTAAACATATAGGCTGCTTTAAAACTAAAATACTCCAACCTAAAAATACTGGAAATGATTTCCTATTTGATGATGTTAGGGAATTACTGGGGTTTTGTGTGCTGTTTTATGTTGGTATGATACTATTTTGTTACTTTTTTTTTGAAAAGAGTTCTTTTTACAGTTGTATTCTAAAAATTTTTATAATGAAATCATATGTCTGGAATTTGCTTCTAAAAATAACAGGGGCAGGGAGGAGGGTATAGCTCAGTGGTAGAGTGCGTACTTAGCATGCGTAAGGTCCTGGGTTCAATCCCTGGTGTGGTACATCCACTAAAAGTAATAATTAAATAATCCTAGTTACATTACCTCTGCCCCCCAAATAAAAATAAATAAATAAATAAAAATTACTGGAGGATGGTGGGAATGGAGTTATAGCAGAAACAAGATTGCCCATGAGTTGTTAACTGGCAAGGTGTTGTTTTTGTGGGGGTTTGTTATTCTGTTTTGTCCATTTTTGTTTGATATTACCTATTATAAAAAATTAGAAAAATATTTTTGCTGCTTAGTGGCACAGTGGTTATATGAATCCCTGCCATAAGGAAACTTATTTCTATTTCCTTATTGTATGTCTTCAAAAATGTTAAGATCTTAGAATAAGATCATTAATTGTTAAATATACCTATAAATACAGTTCTAAGTTCTGGTCTAAGCTGATTCAGTTAAACTTGCCAGTTCTTCCAGGGAAGGAAAGGATTTAAAGGGAAAGGGATGGGACAGGGCAAAGGTGGTACCTATGAAAAGGCTCAAAGAGTGGGCAAAATGCCCAATAATTCTATTTCTGCTTAAAAAAAAAGGCAAATTTGGTCGTGGAAGATATAAAACTGAGTCTCTGAAAACAGGAATCCACATCCTGAGTTATTCACAGTTTGTAGATCATCTGAAAATGGTCTGTAGTAGGGGGTTGGAGTGGGAAAGTATATCTAGTCACACTACATTATATAATTCATAAAGTTACAGTGACTGATCTGAGTGGTTTTTAAATTTTTTCACTCCTGAATTTATGTTCTCACAAGGCCAGTTGTTTGATCTTGAAAAATGAAATTGCTTGTTAATGGAAAGAAGCATGCTTTCATTGATGATAGTGGGCTATTCTTTGTTTCATAACTTTCGTTGATCTAGGTGGTCTTTCCTTAAGAAACCCATATTTGATATTTTGATCATAAACACATTAAGTGGTATTTATTTACACTTGAATGATTTGCTAGTTTTACTTTAAATTTGCTGTATTGTAGCTTTGACGATTTTGAAATGGAGACACTGAACAAGACAGTAATCATAGCACATCGAAGATTTATCAGGAATCAAAGTAGATTATCAGAAAATACAATTAGGTCATCCACCTCTTCATTAATACATGCCAAACTTATACTGCAAGATACATCTTGAATTGGCTGAAAGATATAATTTTAAAATGGAATCAGTGTAATTTTTTTTTTTCTAGGTACTAAACGTCTTGTAGAAGGGTGTATTAATCCTGGAGAAACCTGTCTAATCATTGAAGATGTTGTTACCAGCGGATCTAGTGTTTTGGAAACTGTTGAGGTTCTTCAGAAGGAGGGCTTGAAGGTCACTGATGCCATAGTGCTGCTGGACAGAGAGCAAGGAGGCAGGGACAGACTGCAGGCGCATGGGATTCGTCTTCACTCAGTGTGTACATTGTCCAAAGTGCTGGAGATTCTTGAGCAACAGGAAAAAGTTGATGCTGAGATGGTCGAGAGAGTGAAGAGATTTATTCAGGAGAATGTTTTTGTGGTAACTAATCATAATGGTTCTCTCCCTTCTGTAAAGAAAGCACCCAAGGAACTAAGCTTTGGTGCACGTGCAGAGCTGCCCGGGATCCACCCAGTTGCATCGAAGCTTCTCAGGCTTATGCAGAAGAAGGAGACCAATCTGTGTCTGTCTGCTGATACTGCAGAGTCCAGTGAGCTGTTGCAGCTAGCAGATGCTTTAGGACCTAGCATCTGCATGCTCAAGACTCACGTAGATACTCTGAATGATTTTACTCTGGATGTGATGAAGGAGTTAACCACTCTGGCAAAATGCCATGAGTTCTTAATATTTGAAGACCGGAAATTTGCAGATATAGGAAGCACAGTGAAAAAGCAGTATGAAGGTAAGTATTATTCAGGAACCTGCAAGAATAAGAAATCCAGCTTAAAGTTGCTGAAGAATAAAAGAAAATGTATTGGCTCACATCACTGATAGCCCAGCCATAGGGCAGCCTGTCAAGCATGGTTGGATCTGGGAGCTCAAGTGATGTCTTTTGGTCTTGCTTTCTCACCAAGTCTCAGCTCTGCCTTCTTCTCTCTTGACTTCTTTCTCAGGTAGGCATTCTCCTCATGCCTTCCCCAATCCACTCACTCTGCCCTGTGGTATAGAATACCTTTATTAGCTCACCTGGGCAACAAGCCTCACCCCTGATAATGTGAGGCTATTAAGTTTATGTAAGCTTCTTGAACCAAGATTTAGTCAAGGGTAGTTCCCTTAAAGAAAATGGGTATGCTGATGCCAGGAGAAAGGGACATGGGTTCTAGGCAGGAAGAAATGACAGATGTTGGCCCTGGCAGAACACAATGAGTTCTGAGTATTTGAAGAATGAGAATTGTAGATACAGGAAGCAATGAAAAAGTAGTATAAAGTTGTAAGATTATTTTTAGCAGAAAGAGATCTGTTGATATACATCCTTTTTTAAAAATGTTATGTTAAATAGGAACTCCAGGTAGAGCATATGTTAGTTGAAAAAACTGCTTAATTCTTTACCTAATCTTTTATGCAAATTTGTTTTATTGTTTGTGTCCTGTGCTTTTTCACTTAACCTTACATCAGACATTTTATGTAATTTAACTGTTACAAGCGTCTTTTCAGGTAACAGTTTTTCTTTAATGTGTATGTATTCTTAAACTATTTCTTTAGGGTAGATTTTTCTGTAATTGACTTTCTTCATGTGCTTATGATATTGACTGTTGAGTTATACAGAATTTCTATAGGTACGCATATAGATTTTTTCAAAACTCTAAGGTTATTGTTGTCTGCTTTTAAAATGAATGCAATTGCCTGTTGAAACGTGAAGAACTAAAGAGACCTGAGAAACAAGTAGAAGATCTGAGATGGTAAAGTTGCTGAGAGATTCCTACAGAAAGAAAGTTTGTCATCTGCAGAGGAATTTCAGAATATTGATTGATATCTTTGACCTCAGCAAACCTCTGTCTTCAGTGGCATACCTTTCCAGTTTCATAGATTTTGTTGGTGGTCACAAATGTCAGCCTGCAAGGAAAAACAGTCCTAATCAGTTTTCTTCTCCTTATGATCTCTCAGCTAGCTAACCAGGTAGATAGATAAATTTTCACACATAGGTCCACTGAGAATAACTGAAATTCTTGAACTGTTGCACTCTTTCATTAGCATGTTACTAGGAGATTATTTCCATATTGTAGTTGGCTAGTTAGTTGGATAAAAAGTTAAAGATTTTTATTTGCAAATTGACAAGTATCTTTTCCCCTCCTTTTTCTTAGGTGGTATCTTTAAAATAGCTTCCTGGGCAGATCTAGTAAATGCTCATGTGGTGCCAGGCTCAGGAGTTGTGAAAGGCCTGCAAGAAGTTGGCTTGCCCCTGCATCGGGCATGCTTGCTCATTGCAGAAATGAGCTCTGCTGGCTCCTTGGCCACTGGGGACTACACTAAAGAAGCAGTAAGTGAAAGAGGAGAGGGACTGGGGTGGAGAGGGCTGGGGCGGTGATGCTACGTGTTACAGGGGAGGAAAGTATCTTAATTTGGGGTCTGTGGAATCGCTACCAAAAGTAAAAAATCAGCTGCTATTAGTGTATTAGTTTATTAATACTAGTTGCCTAGAGTGCCCTGTTAATAGCATTATATATCTTGTAGTGGACACTGAAAAGATTTGAATTGTACTCTAAGAGAGAGACATTGAAACAAATATTGGGTCAAATATCTGTCAATACTTACCTGGCCTTTAGGATAGGTGAGTTTTGTCCGTCTCACCATAAGCAGAAATTGAAGCTCTTATTCCCGGATATGCGCTTTCTTAGACTCTCTGGAATCACATAGAGACGCACAGTCTCCTAACAGCAGCCCACGTGAAGTGGCTTAAAGTCTTTGGTATTGATTGGCATTGTATGGGAGAGTTCTTAACTAGAGTCCAGACACATTGTTTCCTCCAGTAATTCCCCATTATTAAAAGTTCTTACAACACCATACATGTTAGTACTCAGCTCCCACCCCTGCACACCAGAACAAATGAGAGATGGATAATCACCTAGTTCAAAAGCTCCTTTTCACATTCTTCTCAGGTTGAGTTTCATTGTTGGATAGTCACCTAGAAAGATGGATGGATTACTTTTACAGATATTTTAAAGACTATTAATTTTGAAAGTAATAGGACTTTTTATTTTAATAGAATTTTACATTTTACATGGGAATTTACTTTTTCATATTATTTCAAAGGCTGTCTGTGGAACTGTGAAGAACTTAACATGTCCTAGGGCCAGGCTTTAACCCCCTCCTGAATCGACCGTGTCTGTGATTCCCCAGCTCTCACAGCAGAGGGTCCATGAGTCAGTGCTGGTATTTGGCATTCTGGATCTGGCTCAAGGACAATATATTGCTTGTTGGTAGGTGGTAGTACTTAGTGGCAAGAGTGGAACAGCGTGAGCCTCAGAGAAGAGTAATTTAGAAAATCAGACAATCTAGGGAAACTTGTATCATAATGGTAGAGAAATAAATTGTGGACACAAGTTACTGACAAATGTTAAAGAAGAGAGAAAGGAGTAGAGGTAAGATCTCTAGCTAGCTGGTAACAACAGAGCTGTTTTTTTATATGGTGGCTGTCCTTAGATACATGTGTAGATAGATGAGCAGTAAGTCTTCAGTGCGGTTTTATACCATTATAAATGTATTCTAGAGTATTACTCATATCCTTTTTGGAAATGGGTCTGTCCCCAAGCATTTTTACAAATAAGTAACTGCAACATTTAGAATTAAGATGTACATAGTAAAGGATTTTTAATTTTTTTAGTGTGTAATTATGAGGGAAAGAACAGGAGGAGTTACTTTAGGGCTTTAATGGACCAAGTATGTAAATTCTTATCTAAGGTTACCTGTCTTAAATATAATAAAAGTTTAATATGAAATGAGAAAGGGCATCTATAAAATAGTAAATTCTCTTACATTCTGTGTGATTAACTGCTTTTTTATTATCTGTTTATGATGTTCCCTTTAGGTGAGAATGGCTGAAGAGCATTCTGAATTTGTGATTGGCTTTATTTCTGGCTCCCGAGTAAGCATGAAACCTGAGTTTCTTCACTTGACTCCAGGAGTTCAGTTAGAAGCAGGAGGTAAGAGTGCAGGAGGAAGAAGGCAGGCAGGCAGGCAGGCTGGCTTTATTGCCTGCGTTTCTGCAAACCACACATCCCATTGCCTGGCACTGTATGTATTACCGGCACTTGCCACTTGGGGGAGCTCTTTGAGATTCCTCTCAAGTATGTTTCTCTAGATTGCTTTATTGGCTACATTTGCCATGTTGTCACTACATCTCCTACTTCTACGCTTTTACATAGTTTCTCTATATCTTTGAGTCTGCTGCTTTTATGTTATATTCACTAGTTTGTTACATTTTTAGAGTCCATGTATAAGCAATGTCATATTTTCTTGGCATAATGCCCTCCAAATCTGTAATGCCCCAGTTTTTGTGGCTGCTGCCCCAGGGGAATCCCCTTGATCACCAGGCCACCAGGTGGCCATCGGGAGGCTTGCCTTTGCCGGTCCCATGGGACTGTAACAATGAGACACAATTCTTGGCAGGTTACCACTCCTACTCTTTCTGTCAGAGAGGCCCTTTGCTTGTCCTGGAGCTTTGGCCTGAGGCTTCAGTTTCGGCACACACCAGGGTCTACAGAGCTGTTCTCCGGGAGCGTCAGGTGATTGATAGACACCGTCTTTATGCTCTTTGTCTCACTAGAACTTGCTGTTTTATCTCCTAGAAAAAAGCTGCTTATGCATTCATCTGTAACTCTGAATTTTGTGACTGCCACTCAGGGGACATCTTCAGATAGGGCACTCGTGGCCAGTAAGGCTTACACTTACAGTCCCACAGGCCTGTATGTGTTTGCATACTTCAAAGGCTGTTGCCTGAGTGTCTGCACCAATCAGGGTGAATCTAGGTGCTGACTGAGACCCTCTCCTTTGGGACACTGACAGGCCTTGGCATACCCTCAACTGCTGGGAGCAATTACAAGTGCAAAGGCTGCATGGGCAGTCAAAAGTTTTGAGAAATGACCAGGAGCCAGGAAAAGGTTGAACACGGTTCATGTCTTACATCTTTCCTTCAAGACCAGGAGAAATGCATAGAAACCAACACAGAGTCAAGTCAAGCAAAATGAAGGAAAAAGGAACAAGATGAAACTTCAGGAAAAACCTATAGTGAAATGGAGATAAGTAATTTACCCAATAGAGTTCAAAGTAATGGTCTTAAAGAAAGATGCTCCCTTAACTCAACTTCAACAGAGACAGAAAATATACGTACTAAGTAGAAGTCAGAGATGAGGGATATCGTAACTGAAAAATACACTAGAGGGGTATCAGAGCAGCAAAAAAGAGAATGAAAAAAATGAAGATAGCTTAAGGTACACATCAAACAGGAATGACATTCTCACTATAGGAGTCGCAAAAGGAGAGAGAGAGAAAGGGGCAGAAAGCTTATTTCATGAAATAATGGCTGAAAACTTCCCTACCCTGGGGGGAAGGAAGTGGACACCCACATGCAGGAAGCCCAGAATGTTCCATATGAGATGAACCCAAAGAGCCCTATATCAAGGCACATTATAAATGTCAAAAGTTAAAGATAATGTTAAAAGCAGCAAGAGAAAAGCAGCTTGTTACATAAAACAGAACCCCCACGAGACTATCAGCAGGTATTTCAGTGAAAACTTGGCAGGCCGGGAGGTAGCGGCATGATAGAGCCAAAGTGTTGAAAGGAGAAAATCTGGAACAAAGAACTTTACCCAGCATCAGAATTAAAGGAGAGAACTAGTTTTCCAGATCAGCAAAAGCTAAAGAAGTCCATCATTACTAAAGTGGCTTTACAAGAAATGTTAAAGGGACTTCTTTAAGCTGAAAAGAAAGGGTGCTATTTAGCAACAAGAAAACATAAGAAAGAATAAATCTCACTGGAAAGGTAAATATATGTAAAGGTAGCAAATCAACCACTTAAAAGGTTAAAAGATAAAAATGGTAAAAATATAACTACAATAATTAGCTAAGGGATATACAAGATTAAAAGATGTAAAATATGACATCAGAAACCTGAAACCTTCTGGAGGGAGTAAGAATGTAGAGCTTTAGAAAGTAATCAAACTGCAGTTGTTGTCAATTTAAAACAGACTGTTACGGATACAAGGAAGCCACGTGGTAACCACATTGCAAAATCCTGTAGTAGATACACAGAATATAAAGGAACCTAAGCATGCCACTAAAGACAGTCATCAAACCACAGTGGAAGAGAACAAGAAGGAGCAGAGAGACTCAGCAGATGCAGAAAAAGCATTTGGCAAAACTCAACCTCCCTTTATGATAAAGACTCTCAACAAAGTAGTTATAGAGGGAGCTTACCTCAATGTAATAAAGGCCATATATGACAGGACCGTAGCTTGCATCATCCCGAAAAGGCTAAAAGCTTTTCCTCTAAGATCAGAAACAAAAGAAGGATGCCCACTATCAGAAAGATAAGAAATAGCAAGTGTGGGTGAGGTTATGGAGAAAAGGGAACCCTTGTGCTTTGCTGGTGAGAATGTAAATTGGTGCAGTCAGTGTGGAAATGGTATGGAGGTTCCTCAAAAAATTAAAGCTAACATGATCCAGCAATTCTACTTATATCCAAAGAAAAGGAAAACACCAACTTGAAAAGATACCTGCACCCCCACGTTCATTGCAGCATTATTTACAATAGCCAAGATATGGAAACAACCTAAGTGTTCATTGATGGATGAATGAATAGAGATGTTATGTATATATACAATGGAATATTATTCAGACATTAAGAAAATGAAACCCTGCCATTTGCAGCAATGGCTGCCCTTGAGGCTGTTATGTTAAGTGAAATAAGTCAGACAGAGGAAGACAAGTGCTATATGATCTCATTTATCTGTGCACATCTAAAAATAAAAAAGTAAACTCATAGGTACAGAAAACAGATTGGTTGTTGCCAAGAGTCATAGGATAGGACTGGCTGGAATAGGTGAAGGGAGTCAAAGGGCACGAACTTCCAGTTATAAATAAAATAAGTCATGGGGATATAATGTACCACATGCTGGCTTTGTTAATACTACTGTATTGCATATTTGAAAGTTGCTAAGAGTAAATCTTAGTTCACATCATAGAAAAATATAATTTACTGTGATTAAGCCAGGTAACGGATGTTAACTAGACTTACTGTGGTAATCAGTTCACACTGTCTACCAGTATTGAATCACGATCTTGTATACCTGAAACTAATACCGATTATACATCAAAAAAATTTTTTTTAAAAGAACAGAGGAGCGGAAATTAAGGATTAGAATTTGTACATAACCTAAGCACCTGATAGGGTTGTGGCAGAAAGATTCACATGTGTCGTCATGGTCAGGTTAGCTGCCTTGTGAAGACTTTTCCAACAGCATGTCACAGTGATTACGATGTATACTGAAATTGTCTTCAATTAGGAGACAAATTTTTATTCCATTTCATTTGGTGGTGAACCTTTTTTGGCAACAGATTTGTTTTTTGATACTGTTGAACTATACATGCTCTAAAATTAGACACTGAAAAGCTGTTGATTAGCATGTCTACACGGTGGACATCTATGGCCAATCCAAGGAGTCTCTTCTGGTTTTATTCACTCGCTGTGTGTGCAGAAGGGGCATGGTGAGCAAGAGCATATTTCTCTTTAAAGCAGTTGAGATCCTTTTCAGAAAAGTCATGCGACAGGTTTTCTGATTCTCTGTATTTTGTTAAACATTTTTGTTTTTGTAGGTGATAATCTCGGCCAGCAGTACAGAAGCCCACAGGAAGTTATTGGCAAACAAGGTTCTGATATCATCATTGTGGGCCGGGGCATAATAACATCACCGAATCGTCTGGAAGCAGCTGAGATGTACAGAAAAGCTGCTTGGGAAGCTTATTTGAGTAGACTTGCTGTTTGAGTGTCTCCGACATATTTTTGTGAAGGCCTTGAAGATACATTGTCTCCTGAGATGCTGCTGGCTTGAAATAATAAGCAACCTTTAATACTGCTTGGAGTCTTCCACTGGGCCTGTCGGAATGACTTCCGGAATTACCACGGGCTATGGGATATAGTGACCTGTAATCACTGCACTGTCGCTATGCTCAGTTCATTTTCAGGCTGGCTTTTATTGAGACTGATGCTGGTGAGGCAATCAGTCTAGCTTCCATATTTGAAGATCCACTCATCTCTGTATCAGACTTTTTGATTCTTTTAATTCCTATGGGACAAAAATTTGAGGACATCAAGAGGCTAAAACCAGTACAGCATTTCTTGTGTCCTTTATTTGGTGTCTCTGATGCCCTAATAATGTTTAGATATTTCCTGTTCTCTTCCTCTTCTGCTTAAAAGTGATAGTCGAAGTGTCCAAAAGGTGCTGGGTCCCAGCACTGCCTTTGCTCACTCACCCAAGGGAGCCGGGGGAGGGGAGGGGATGGGCAGGTGATGAGCCCCTGAAGCCAGTGCCCGGCCTTCATTTCAACAGACAGGGCTGTTGACTCATCTCTTCCCCAAGGCAGGTGTCGTCAGCCCGAGTCATTGCTTTCTTTTGCCTTTTTTCTGTTACCAGTGGACCAGCTGCCCCTTCATTTATTTAAAAGGGAACAGTGTCAAGAGGTTCATTTGGAGATTTGCTTGAAGATCCTACATGATTCTCCCAACCGTTGTTGATAGAGAGGGATGTCAGCCTCACATTTAGAAGTAAAGAGAAAGCAGCCCAGCCACAAGAGTTAGCAACCTCTTTGGGCTGGGCACATCTGCCTTCCCTCACAGGCCCTGCCTTCGTGCACGTGGCAGCTGGGCAGCCCCTCATTCTGGGCCCCGGTGCAATTTCTCCTAGAAATTCCTGAGTTTCTGGATGATCCCTGTACAAATAAAGCTGTTCCCCATTTTCATATTTCTTTGATCTGTTGAGGAAGCATCTTGGAGGGAGGGGAGGGTGTGGGCTCATAGGATCATTTTGAAATGGCCCCACTGCACATTCAAGGCCCTGAGGGTCTTGCACAGGGCTAGGGTGGCAGTTGCATTTGAAGGAAGGCTCTTAGTTCAGACTCCACCAACACACTCATAATCTGCCTTTCCTTCTCAGCTCCGTCACGCCTGCAGGCAGTGGCAGGTATCCGAGGGTGACACTTGCCACTTCCTCATGACAGCTGTTCCCACCCTGCTTGCCCTACTCTTCAGCTTTCATGACTCAGATAGAAGCCTCTTACTTCAACTAGGTGCTTATCTTGGAGTCCACACTTAACTAACTTCTGCTCTAAAGTCCAGTTTGACCTTCGGGTCCCAGTGCTGCAACTCCAGAGCAGTTCCCTCTGGCAAAGACATATTATCAAGGAAAAGGCAGGAAGGCAATGGAAGAGCTGTGGGCTTGGGGCTACTCTGAAGGGGCTGAAAGTGAGGAAGAGGTGCAGATTTTTCTAACAAGAACCTACAAAGATCTCTTGGATGCCTTCAAAGTATTGGCGACCTCAAGGCTGAGAGACCGTTGGAGTGTGCTGAGGACTCAGGTGCCCACTTACCGACTTACTCACTGGTTCTCACGCTTCAGCATGCATCCGATCACCTGGAGTCTCGTTAAATCAGATGCCGGCCCGGCTCCAGCATTTCTGACTCTGGATAGTTACAGGATCGGACATGAAAGTGCATCTATCACAAGTACCCAGGCAGGGCTGAGGCTGGTGTGGGGACTGCACTGAGAGCCGTGGCCCTGGTTAGTCAGTTTTCTTCTGCAGTGACATAGTCTTTGGGGTCTCCCTGCATCTCCTACTGAGAAACCTACTCCAGTCACACCCAGTTCTGTTACTGAAGCTCCCCAAGGGCCCCTTCTGGGTAACTTAAAGGGAAATCAGAGGAATACCGAAGGGTCGCCTGGCCCCTGCCCTGTATTTAAAATGCAGATCCCTGGGCTCCATCATCAGAGATGATTGCTTCAGCAATTTGAGGTGAGGCCTGGGAATCTGCATTTATAACAGGTGCCTCAGGTGATTTTGATGTTTTTGGAGAATAAGCTCCATGCAGTCTGGAGACATAAAACTTTGTAGCACAAACTGGTTGAGACAAGACAAAGAACTTGGCTCTCTAGGGCCTGTGAGGGGCTGCTAAGCATAGAAGTATTGTAGAGGCATCAGATGTTTTTAGCCCTTTCTCAGTCAAGAAATGTGTGTAGAGCATGAGCTCCAAACCCAGTAACACCTGGTCCTGATGAAGAAAATGGGAACAGCCCTCACAGGGCACCCAGAACGTGTAAGACTAATGAGAGGTGGAGAGTCCCACCAGGACCGGCCTCTTCCCAGACTCCAGGCATAAACCATTCTGTCCGTGATGCCCCAGGAACCTGAGAAACCTGGTCTGCTGTCCTCACTTTAAGAGCTGCACGAGTGTAGACCCTGAAGGGCAAAGAGCCTTGCACACAACCAGCTTGTAGCCAGCAGAGGCCTGGGGTCTCTCAGACCCCACTCAGCTTCATGCTGATGTGGACTGTCTCTGGTCTCTGGGAAAGGGCACTGGAGGGTGAAGGGCAGCCTGAGGACACCCAACTCCCATGCACCCACCTTTCCTGAACAGAATAGCTGGTGAGGCCCAGAAGCACGGCCACAGGCTCTGCCAGGATCTTTACAGGAGAGGACAGACAGGGCGGCGGCGTCTGTCCTTTGAGGTAGGTGGGCACAGGAAACAGTGGGGCGGCTCAGGTCTAGGACGCACGTGCGTGTGTGTGCACGCACATCAGAGGACCAACTGGATGATCCTGGCTTCAGAGGAACTGAGGTTCCTGACCGCCTGTCCTGGTTAGTGCAGTGCTGGCCCATGGATGCAGCCTGTGCGCCTCCTACCAGCCGCGGGTTTGCTGCTACGTGAGGGTCAAAGTGTACAGAGCCAAGGGTAGGCCAGAGAAGCACCTGAGGAAATCCAGCCACCCGGGGAGAAAAGCAAAGAAAACCACCTGTAACAGCTGTGAGCACCAAGAGAGCAGGGATTTCCCATCAGTGTGGTATTCTCGGCACCTGGATCAGACCCAGCGAATGTTTCTGAATGAAAGCGAGCACAAGTGCCCTCTGCTGAAACTGAGCTCCACAGGACACAGACCACACTTCAAGGACCAGAATAGCAAAGACAAGATGACACAATTTGTAGAAAGGGACTCAACTCAAAAATGTAGTTGTCAATTTGGAAATTTGATGGGAAATTTAAAGATGGTATGATAATATTGAGAACTACATCTGTGGGCAGGAAGATCAAGTGGAAGAAATATCAAAATTCAAAACAAAAGGACAAAGGTGGAACTGATGAGAGACTTAGAGGACAGATCCATGAATGTGAGAAGACAATGGGAGCAGAGTAAATAATGATCGAAATTAACAATGAGGAAATTTTCCAGTTTGAAAAAATACTTGAGTCTGCAGATTAAAAGGGCTTACTAAGTTCCAGGCAGGTGTTACAGACAAAGGCATATCCTGTAAAAATTAAGGCACTTCAAGGAAGAATTTTACAAGCATCTAGAGGAATAAACTACTTGGAAAAGGAATCCAACTAGTAGTGGACTGTCCCTGGAACACTGGAAGCTTGGAGACAGGTAGTGACATCCACAGACCCTGAGGAAAGACTGTCACAACCAGGAGTCCTGAGCCCAGCTGTGTGATCTGCTCTTGGGTTGTAGCGGCCTGGCTGTGAGTGTTCGTAGGCTCCCAGCAGCCCGATCATGGGGCACTTCAGTGCTCAGACTGTATCCACACTAGTGAGGGAGGTGCCCTGAGCACGTGCCTCTGAAAGGCTCGTCAGGGCAGGCTGGGAGTGTGCAGTAGAGTCGGTGTGTCTGTCCAATAGGAACGGGCCTGTCGGCAGCTGGAGTGGTGACTCTACCCTGGGATCTTCAGAAACTGATACTGGAAGCCCCTTAGAGATCGTCTGATCTGATCACCCCATTTCACAGATGAAATGGAGGCCAGTTGGGAAATGGTTCGCCTAAGGTTACAGAAGAGCTAATGACAGGCAGAGTAAGGACTAGAATCCCTGTCCTTACCCTCCAGCTTGGTATTTCGTTCTTACCCTTTTCACCCTCTTGCTGTAAGGCAGATAGATTCAACTTTCCCCCTCTTTGGTCTACATGCAGCTACATACTATACGTGTAAGTGTCTTTCACCAAGTAATCAAGTATTTACTGAGCACGGAGTGACCCCGACATACATGTTCGAGTCATTATGGAACTTAGTTTCTAAACTAAACTTTTATTAGGACCTCCATGCCACCCTAAGAGACAGCAGCCAGGCTTCCTATCAGTCACCGTTCAAGAGACACGTGCTTCCATTGCCACCAGGATTCAATACAAAGTGCCCAAACCGTCCATGTCCCCATGCTTCCCTCCCCCTCCCGAGTCCGTGCACTGCACTGCACGGCCCAGCAGCCCCTCCCGTTTCAGGTGGAGGGTATTTCCACGCCCCGCTGCTGCTGGGCTCAGCTGTTAACTTTCTCTGACCAATGGACTGTGGGTGGAGGGAACAGGGACCCAGTTCTGAGCCTAGACTCGTGTTTCTACTCACTCATCTTTCACTGCCACCACGAGAAGATCAGGCCCTGATTAGCCCACACATCCCAGAAGAATAAGAAAAAATTAAGAGTGGAGCCCACACTAGCCTTCCACAGCCTGAGGTGCCAAGGCCCCATCAGGTGTGCAGGCCCCTGAGCAGGATGATAAGTGCTCAGTATCGTGGCCGTGGGATGTGGGGGAGGCTTGTTGTGCAGCAACAGCCGGCTGACACGTTTAACAGTGCACCACGCCAGGTGTAGCCCTGGTTACGAGGGAGACAAAACTTGATTCCACCAAGACCCAGGCTCCCTGTCTGCCTTGCCCTTTGGCTGCTTCCAGTGATCTCTCCAGAAGCAGCAGCTGCCGGGCTCCTGCAGGGATACTGTGCTTCGTCGCCGTGAGCCCACGTCGGCCAGCCAGTGACCCACGGACTCCACGGTGTGCGGCCTCCACCCCTCCGCGGACGGGGCAAGTCGTGTCGTCAGTGCTGGGGCGTGCGACTGGCCGACTAAGCGTGGGCCGAGGCGACCAGTGGAGCAAGGATACCAAGACACGCCTTCTGAAGGAATCTGGTACTCCAAAAGAGGGGTGGGGGGCCAGGACTCTTGGGGTGCTGTATGTTTATTTTATGGTTGATGCTGTTTTGCTAATTTTTAATTTTGGATTATAG